ACAATCACCCCCCTCCACCAGTTCACAGCTCCTACGAGCTGAAGATGATGACAAACTTATTCCATCCACCTGACACTGCAAAAAGCCCATGTGCTTGAGGGCTGCAGGGTGCCAAGGGGGGGAGAGGGAAGGTTGCGGGGAACATCATGGGAATGAGGAAAGTTTGGCTATGAAGGCTGAGACTTTTCCTTGCTCGACATTGTGTATGCTTTATAGGGCCTAAGAGGGCAGCCAATAACCTGAGACTGTGCTTCATACCTGAGTCCCGAGCTGGACTTGTCATTTTCCGTCCAAAGTCACATACCCTCCTGCAAGCCTTTGCAGCCAAATCCATTTTGGGAGGCAATTTGCCTACCCAAACATTTCTTGAAACCACTCTCTATGGGGAGCTTACCTGGGATTCTTTATGGTGTCATCTGAAATAAAGTGACCAGGATTTTAGTTTCCACTTAAAAGTGCTCTCAGCCTCAGCAGTTCCGTCAAACTGATGTTAATGCACCATAATATTCTAAAGAGCCCAGGCCTTGTGGGAGGGTATATTTAGACACTTTTCTTTCCGTGCAGCTATTTACGGCAGGTGTATCAGACTCCTCACACGGCATCCCTTCGAATATAGTAAATGACTGTCAGCAAATAAGTGTCAAAGCCAAGCTAAATCTTCATTTCTTTAAATGTCATAAAATGGGGATGAAGCACACACCGGAATCCCGGCACTCGGCAGTCATCTTTATTACTGGTGATCTGGGTGGCCAGCGTGACCTGGCAGTAGCTTTCAGATACCCTCCTCAGATGTGTGCTTGCCTGGTCAAGCTCTAGGAACTCTCCCAGTGAAGCCAGTCTGCATCTTCACGTCCATCAATAACACCTCTGGTTCAGGACTTGGCTCACCACCATCTGCCCTCTGCAGAATTAGAAATCCTACGAAAGTTATTTGTGTGCATGACATATGACTTTTGAAAAACAAAATCCAATGTCTAATGCATGGCAACCCTATATATCCTTCTGGGGCTGTGACTCTTTAGGGGAGCAGGTAGCCTCGCCTTCCTCCCTTACAGAGACTGGTAGACCTGAACTGTTGACCCTTCTGTCAGCTTATCAGACAGCACCACCGTGGCTTCTTCTATGAGCTTTAGAATCAGATGTCTCCACATTTAATTGATTAGTGTCTTGGAGTTGATGAATTTTAAGTTAGAATACTATTTTAGGCAAAAATATCCGATTATCTAATTCTGTAAACAGAATCCACTAATTGTGTGTGTGTGTGTGTGTGTGTGTGTTCACTGATTGACTATAGTGGCTATCAAATCCTTGCCTAGAGTTTTGATGAAAAATGTCATTTAGTAAAAAGAAAATGTCATTTAGTGTCTGCAGATTGGTTTGACTTGCATTGCTTTTCACCTTATTTTGTTTTACTTGTTTGAAAGTTCAACTTTGTTTAGTTACAGGTGGGGGGAGAAAAAACATCTGCAACCCTTTGATCTCTACAAAGTAAACCACAAACTCTTTAGACTGGATGCTAGCTTAGGAAAACTGCCCACATCATAAACTACCTTCAGGTGCAAAATACTTAGACCACTCTACATGCTTCTACTGTAAAGGGAAGTTTCACAGATGCTTCTTCTGCTCCTCCATGGTCCCTCAGCTACATCCCCAACAGTCTGTTTTGTCTACTTTTGAAATATCTGCTTCACCTGTACCACCTACAAATGCGTGAGCGCGCACACACCAACCCCCCCTCCGCTGCATGCCCTACACACACACACACACGGTTGACACACTTGCAGTTCATTTCCTGTAGTTTCATCCTTTACAGAAAGCTTTCACTACAACTCTGACTTTACAGCAGTTACAAACCTAGACTAGGCTTCTTTCCCAGCTGTCTGCTTTGGCTGGGGTTGTGAGGATGTGAATGGTAAGGGGTGGGGGTGAAGGGAGACCCCTGTTATCATGCAAGCAATTGCTAACTGTGGACCTCTGACTTTGTAATTTGTTCTTTATGGACTTGCCTGCAGCCAATAAGCAAAATCAATAGTCTTTGCTGAAAAGTAAGCAAGTGCCAGCGTGTTATGTGACAGGTGAAGATACATGTGCTTACCAGGGGTCAGGGGGCCACATCAAATTTCTCTCTGACTTCTTTTCAAAAAGCTGAACCATTTAGGGAGCATTCGTCACTGGAAAATGTTGCGATGGGGAATAAGAAAGGCTGCTGCTCTTCTTTTCTCATTTAATGATGTTTGTTTTCAACCGCCTGTTCGATAATGTCACTGGGAAGAAATTATGTGAGAAGAATAAAGTGCTTAGAGCTTATTTATTTATTCATTCATTCGTTCATTCATTTCTGTAGAATAACCCGAGCTGTTGCTTTCTCATGTATATTAATACAGCGGTGGTTGTCCAAACATTTGTTTGTTCTCTTCCTCCCCAAGAAATAGGTAAGTCTCTTTCTATGGCCATAGAATTGATTACCTGTAGTTTAAGTCAGAGGGAAGGTTGTATGAGCTTGATGGGAGACAGACATTGCTCTAAGCCAACATTATAGCAGGATGTAAATTTACTCAATAATTTGGCTTCTGATAAGATGTCAAGAACCTATTCTGTTTTCTTCTCAGCACCATCAGACCTCAGGCACTTTTGGAGATGGATATAAAATTTAAAAACTAATGGGTAAGAGTGGATTCAAAGGGAGTAAATAAAATGGGCTTCTACTCTTTGATATTTCATCACTATATTCTCCCTTTGGCTTCTCAGACTCCAATGTGTTTGAACGTTCAGCTCAAAGACAGGATTACCATCGCAAGCAGGACTGCTTAACCTGCTATTAAACTGAAACAAGTAAGCTAACAGGGGATTTTCTTTCTGATTTTCCCCCTCCAAATTTTGAGGAACTGGCAAACAGCAGTGAACCACACAAATCTAGCAATAATCAGGCTGGTGTATCCAGGGCACCAAGAGCTAAGCTGCAGACAGATGGCTACCGTTCCAGAAGAGCCTCAGAAGGCAGGACGGGCTGGAGTCTGTTACTTTGGGTTGTGACTCCTTTGGAAGGAAAAATGGAATTAGAAATATCGCTCAATTTCAATGATGTCTATGGTAAACTAATAATTTGGACTTGATTTTACAATTACAGTGAACCCTCGTTTATCGCAGTTAATCGGTTCTAGACCCTACCATGATAAATGAAATTCCGCGAAGTAGGATTCCTTATTTGTAAATCAAATATTTTCGTAGTTAGAGCATAGAGGACATGAAAAAACACCCTTTAGTCACCATTACACTCGTATTACCCAATTTATTAAACGAAAAAGGGAAAATACAGTAAAACATTTTGGACGTTACAATTATCATTTATTATTTATTATATTATTTATGGCATCAAGCGTGTACAGTATGAGCCAATCAGTGGCAGTAATGACAGAGCATGTGCTGTTACGCAAAAACCGCGATGGAGTGAAGCCGCGGAAGTCGAAGCGGCGGAGGGGCGAGGGTTCACGGTATAATTGATTTGTCCTGTTGCAGTTGCGCCACTTCAAGGGCGCCCCATGTGCTTTGTTAAGATTCGACGGAAAGCTCAGAGGAGAACCAGCCAGGGCTGGTTTCATGGTGCTGTAATTTGCTTTGAAATCTTTTGAAGATTCAAAATTCTATGGACTCAGAATTGATGCCCCAAAAGATTACCTTCATGGCACGAAGCCAGTGCAATTAACGTATACTGTTGTTGTCTATTGCCATTGAATTGGCCCCTACTCCTAGAGGGTCTATATACATAAAACATTACCTGGTCGGGAAATATTTTCTTAGCTTCCAGCACTATTTTAGATATTCTGTTGTGAGCCTTAGGGTTTTATTTGGCTCATTTCTGGTAGTAGAGCACTAGGGTTTTTCCTAGTCTAGCTTAGTCTGGAAACTCCACAAAAGCCTGCCTACCATGGAAAGCAATCCTGCTGGGATCTGAGATGCCAAAGACATAACTTCCAGAATCGTAGCAACAAGCAAGCCACCACAATAAGACAACCTGATGACAGATGGTAGAAACGGGCATAAAAACTCAGATCCCACTTAGTTCACATCCTATTGAATATCAGGAAATTTCAATTTACAAAAGCAATTTAGGTTATCTTAATGTTTATTGGGCCTCATGCGTTTCTTCCTAAATAGAGTATAAATTCCTTGCGAGTAGATACTACGGCTTACATTCCTCTGTATCTCCTGTGTTTGAGCTACAACCTCAACTCAGAGTCATATGAGCAAACATGAATCTGAATTTGATTAACTTATATGAAAGTGTACCTGCTTTGTCTCTCTGTAGATTATGTCTGTGTAATACATAAAGATGTCAAAGTCATATTGTTTGTTAAGAATTTATCTACATGCTTCTTTTTTCATTAGTACATATATTAATTTTTATTTCTGTGTTCAAATAATCATAGAAAATGTAATAGGATCTAAAAATATTGGGGTTAAACTATGAGTGCTAACATTAATTCCAGTAAGTATCCTTACTCTACTACAGTTCACATGTCATGCAATTCAGCAGTTCAATCATATTAAGAAGAGTTGTGAAATCATCACCACAATCAGTTTTAGAACATTTTATTTTCTTGTAGTTATTTTTTAGCCTATAATAATTTTCAGATACATAAGATGCTAGAGAGAATATAACGCTGTGTTAGCAAGTATTGTAGCTATTAACCACATATGGATATTGAATACTTAATATGTGGCTAGTCAAAATTGTTATGTACTTTAAGTGTAAAATGCACAGAAAAGTTTAAAGACACAATTTGAAAAAAAAAGAAAAGATGTTGAAATGACACTATTTTGGATTATTACATCAAATAAATTATATTATTAAAATTAACTTTGCTCTTTAAACTTTTAAAAATATAGTTACCAGAAAATTTGAAGTTATATGTTCAACTTACATATTTCTATTGAAGAGTGACTTATACAAGTTAACATAAGTTATTTTTTTTGTGTGGCTCTTTTCAGTTTATTGCATGAAGGAGTTACACTAGTCCAAGTTAAATGTGGACCCCAAATGGTTACGTCATACAAGCTGTGAGGTTTTAAACTTGTGACAAGGGACAGAGGGAATTTTACTACTCATTGCAAGGAAATCCTCACTTAAGCTTCCGTGAGCCACAAGCACTTAAAACCCATGAACCTTCAGCTGGTCGTCCTTAGCCAGCCCAATCTCTACAAGGAACTGGCCTATGTTCTTGCGCTGGTCGCCCTGGCGCTGAATCACTTCTCCATACTCTAGATGCTCAATCACAGGACCAGTGCAGGCGAATGTCTTCTTAAAGGCCTTCACTAGTTTCTTTTTGTCGTAGTCATCAGCAATCCCTTGGACAGTGGTAAGGGTCTTCCTGCCGTTGCGCTGTTGAATTCTTATATGGATATAATCCTCGGTCCCCGCAGGCAGCAGGTCATCACCCTTACTTGCATCAGCAAAGCGGTCGAAAGAGTGGAGGTTCTGGATAGCGGACATACCGTAAGATTCCTTTTCCTCGGTGGAAACGGCCTGCGGAAGGCGGCGGCTGGAGAAGGCGGGCAGGGGGGACTGAGCGTCGGGAAGCGAGGGGGCTCGAGGGGGAGGCTGCTGAGTCCTCTGCGGCGGCTCAGTGACTGGGACAACATAAGTTATTATAGCCAAACTACTACCTCAGATTCACTTGACTGTCTTACTTATCTATTTATATAGAAAGCAGTTCCTGTGCCTATCAACTGTAATTATAATACAGTCACATTTGTGTCCCTTTTTTCCCCTCTCACAAAGGCATCTAAATGAATAACAGCATACAATTAAATATTTAATATCATTACACTTCTTACAAAATGAATTTATAAATCAAAAGGCAAAACTTGGTATTCTGAATTTGGGGATGTAAAACAATAGAATTATGCTAGCAATTTTCAGCCAGTCATTGTCTTCTTCTGATACAGATGGCCAATCCTTCTTCTGCAATGCCACTGGGTGTCTTTGAACCACCAACCTTTCAGTTAGCAGATGACTGAAACTATTTGTATCACCTGGGGATTTATGTAGAGTTCTTTTTCAGATCAAGAGTATCTACTTACGCCTTCATTATTTTCCTCCTCTTCCATCCTTCACATGGTTCCTCCATAGTTAATCTCACCATCATCTCCCAAACCGAACCAAACTTGCATTGGTGGTGTTAGGCATCGCCGAGTTGGTTTAAACTCATAGTAACCCCATTTACAACAGAACAAAACAGTGTGCCATCCTCAAATCACTGCTGTTTGAGCCCATTGTTGCAACTGTGTTCGTCTATTTCAGAGAGGGTTTCCTTGTTTTTGATGATCTTCTACCAAGCACAGTGTTTTTCTCCAGGGACTGGCCTGTCCTAATTATATATCTAAATTATGTGAGACAAAGTCGCACCACCTTCCCTCTTACAAGCCTTCTGACTGACCTTCTTCCAAGACAGATTTGTTATTTCTTTTGGTAGTCTCTGATATAATTTCAGATGCCCCAAATCATGGCTTCCTAGATAGGGTGGACATGTATTGTGTTTGATCAATTTTTTGATGCACATATTTCCACAGTTTTTGATCTCTAAAATTAAGGTGCAACTTACAATCAAGGGCATCTTTAATACTGGGACACAGGTTCATTGATAGCTTTTTTTTTTCCTTCTTAGAGTTAGATAAAATCATGTTGCTACCTGCAATGGTATCTTAAGTTTCATGAAATGTAATAAATCATGTGGAGAATTTTATAAGAGAGAGCTTCCTGACCTCAGTTCATAGGCAATGACACATCATATTAGGCTGATACTGTTTGGTTATCTTTTCTGGTCAAACAGTCTGCAAATGACTGATTGTGTCCTGGGACCATTATTTCCATGAACCACTGAGGTCCAGGCTTGTTTAGGATAGTGTCGGCATCTTGCCCTTTGGCACAATTCAAGTCATTCACAAATCAACCAAGGGCCCATGAAGTTTTTACCTAGTGTCAGTTGCTAGATGGTGAGCGGGCCAAACAGAATAGAGAAGACAGACTTTCCTCAAGGAATTTATAGCTTCCTGTCCCCCATGCACTGGGATATTCTGAGTTCCAGTCTCTTCTGTAGAATCAAACCGTGAATCCCTCTGCTTCTCCAGATGATCAGAAGGGGCGCGTTGTTCAGGGAGGAGTTGACTGCGTTCTTTGTGAAGTGATGTCTAGTCTGTCTGACCACTCTAGAGGGGAAAATACTTCGGGGTTAGAAGCGGAGGCTACAGGCACAGGCCTGTGGCAGGGTTGTAATTTGAAAGCTAGATCACAAGCTACATGGGAGGTAATGAGTTCCCATTTTTGGCTTCATTAAGACTTTAATGGTTATAAAAACAAGCATCGCTCCTTAATTCCATACCAACTGAGGACAGCAATTTCAATCACTTTTATAATGTTGACCCAAAGGTACAAAAAAGAGGGGAAATGCCTGACAGTACAAAGGATCCTGTGATATCCAGGTCACTGTGAGCCCTGGGCCAAGAGAACATTGCTATCCCATTGCTTAACTTATCTCCTAACTCTAAACTAGCTACTTGCTGGAGACTGGAGGCCTGCTAAGGCCCCTAAGGGGCCATTGGGAAGAAGATGAGAGCTCCACATTTACAGAAATGGTGCTGGAACTCGAAGCTCTCTGGGAATGCAAGTAGCCATTCTTGATAGCCTACTGAGGGGACTGAAGGGGTCGTCATGTGGCATCCTTGAAAGAGCACCCTTCCCTGAAGGAGCTGTGTGCCTGGTCCATTGGAGAAATCTGACATTGTGTATTAGAAATTCCTTTGTATCAAGATATTTTCTACTTTAGCATACACATTTGCATAACAGACACAACATATTAAACTGCCAATAGTCATTTGTACTTAGAATGAAGTATTAATAATTAATAATTGTGTATTAAGCCACAGTAGAAGGCACCCACTCTGTGAGGCACTGGGAATATAATGGGAAGCAAAAGCAGACACTCGCTCTCATTCCAAGGAGGTCACAGTTGATTATACTGGAAAATGAAATTATGAAAATGGATGCTTGATCACAACTGAGGGAAATGACTAGGCATTGGGGAGATGATGCGGAGCAAAAGACACTATTCCTAATCTCATGGAGCTTGCAGTCTAACAGTAGAAGCAGATATTAATCGGAAAACTATTACACTATTACGATTCATGCATGATCACAAACCAAGGTAAACGCTTTCACTGGTGTGCTAGTAGTGAAAGAAAGGGACAGAAATGGAAGCAGGAGGGCAAAGGAGAGAAGCATCTTTGAGGAAGTGACCTTTGAACTGTATCTAAAGGAAGCATAAGATCAGTAGGCACTGACCAGGTAACGAAGAAAAGCATTGAGACTAGCCTTTAGCCCTCTTGAAATAGGTTTTGTTTGATAGGATGTACTGTAGACAAATCAGTGAGAATTCTTCACCTGCTGGCACATGAAACTATCTTTGAGAGCATAGTTATCTCTGTCATATTTTTAATAATGTAGATTTTATACTTATAAACTAATTGGCAAGCTAATTATTGGTGGGGAATAGAATCTCTTTTTGAGAAAGCAGAATAGCAAAAACTTAGACAGTTGAGTTCTACAGATAATGCATCCGTTTATTTTACAAAACACTTTCTTCTCCGTACGAGAAGTTTTCTGGAGCATGTAAAAATAACATGTGTGTGTGTGTTCCATTTCTTGTGCAGAGAGTGCTAAAATAAGAAATGGTTTGCTCTTGGGGGAAAGGATAAGATCCCGGAGAAGAATGGATCTGCTGGTTTAGATTGCTCGCTCTTTGTTGGGAAACAGAAACAGCCAAGGTTGAAAGGGAAATGGTGATTATGAAATTCTACATGGCTGATTGTTAGACAGTGAAATACATTTCCTAGTGGTGAAAACTGAGAACATGGGTTCCCTGGTACTGCTGCACATATTCTGAAAAGGGTAGCAAGCAAAGCATTGCCTTTTTTTTCTGAGTGAATTTAAATTCTGTATAATAAACATTCTTCTAAATTGCCAAGTACTTTAGATTGAAAGTAATTATTAAGAGTGTTGAGTTTATTTTAAATGGCCAACAAATGTATGGGGACATGCTCAAGATCACTAGCCACCTGGTAGATGCAAATCCAAACAAAGATGAGATACCATATTATACTGGCAGTGATAGCCATGTTAGATAGGTAGATAGATTTGAGATAGATAAATATAGATAGATAGATAAAACAGGAAATAATTGTAAAGGGTGGGGGTGGGGAGATTGGAACTTTCACTGCGTAAATATGTGCACCCACTATGGGCAATGATATGGTGCCACCTCAAACAACTGGGAATAGAAATCCCGTATGATCTAGCAGTTAATTACTCTGCTGGTTATATATCCTAAAGAAATAAAAGCTACAACACAAATAGACTTATGCACACCCATGTTCATGACAGCACTGTTCACAAAAACAGGAAGATGGAAGTAACCAAAATGCCCCTCAGTAAAAGAACAGATAAAGACACTGGTATCTACACACAATGGAATATGATATAGGCCTAAAACCATGATGCAACCATGAAGCACGCATGGCCTGGATATACCTGAGGCTATTATGGTGAGTGAAATCAAGTTAATTGCAAAAGGACAAATGCTATATGAGATCACTGTTATGAAGAAAGAAAAACATAAAACAAAGACTTTCATACCCAAAGGAACAAACTTTCGGGGTTACCAAGGTGGGGAGGGTGAGAGAGGGGAGATGACATAATAGTCTAGAGGGTTGACAGGTTTTAACTTGGGTAAAAGGAAAGAGTAGTCCACAGGAGGGGGAGAAGAATCAAAGGAAGTGGGTAGGGTAAGCTATTGGGGAGTTTAATAAATAGTTTAAATTCTTGAATACAAATTTGATGATCTGATATTTAACTCCCCACCTAACTCACAACTTAAACGATTGTTTAAACAAAAAGAGTGTTGAGTTTAGGCTATAGAACCCACCTCTGAGTTTAGCTGGAAACAGCATTTTAGCTGATTAGTAAGACTGTCACCAATCAAAGAACAAGCAGGTGGTAGCTCACTCTTCACATTTTTGTCATCTCTTTTCTGAACAATCAAAATGAACTCATTTTGTCCCTGAGTTGATTCTGACCCATGGTGATCCTGCAAGACAGGGTTGAACTGCCCCTTTGGGTTTCTGAGACTTTAAATCATTTTAGGGAGCAAACATCCTCATCTTTCTATCTCATATTGACTGGCGGGTGCAAATCACAGACCATGTGCTCAGTTCCTCTAAGGTTCACATTCTTGCCTCTTTTCTTGGGCCACCTAAAGTTATTTCCAAAGACAAAAGAAAGGAAATCACTTTTTACATCCTTAAAAATTGTCATTACTACACAGTAATTGTATTAGCTCATTAGAATTCCTTTTCTTGTAGCGGTTTTAGAAAAGAAGCAAAGCTAAGAAACAACGCTGGCAATTTTATTAACACAAAATTTTAAGTTTCAAAGAAATT